TGATTGATTGATTGATTGATTGATTGATTGATTGATTGATTGATTGATTGATTGATTGATTGATTGATTGATTGATTGATTGATTGATTGATTGATTGATTGATTGATTGATTGATAACAACAACAACAACAGCAACAACAATAATAATAATAATAACAACAACAACAATGACTCTACCGTTCGGCATGTGTTGCTCTGTAAAGGCATTCCACATGAAGTTTTCATAGTTTGACGCTCCGTCATAAAACGTCTAAACAACAATATTAATAATAATAATAATAAAAATAATAATAATAATAATAATAACAACAGTAACAGCAATTTAACCATTTTAGACAACGTATTCCCGCCAAGGATGTCCGAATAGTAACCCCTCAGCCTAATTTTCGGCTCGCCATCTGGCGACAAGTCTCTATTAAATATAATTCTAGACTGGGGCCTGTCACTGTTAGTGAAAGATCTTTTAGAGGTTATGGGCGATAATTTGGGGTTGTGCTTTTTTTGAAACATGGTTTTTTCCCCGGATGTTTTCTATTCTAGGTATTTTGTTTCGTTGCTTTTGTTGCCCGGTTGGCGATAGCTGGATTAGTGAAAAGTTAGGGCTGATTTTCGCAGTATAAATTTTATACATTTTGAATGGTGTGTGTTAAAAATCGTTTAAACAAAAATTAAATTTAAAAATTAATATTTAAATTCGTTACTTACATTTACATACGGAAGCTAAAAACATCTAAAATAATTAATCAGATAATTATGATATAACAAATGTTTATTATTATTATTATTATTATTATTATTAATTATTCTTATTATTATAGTATATTATTTAGTAATATTTAATAAGCAACTATTCAAGCATAGTTTGAAATAGCGTCGAAAAAGTTACCATGGTTACCTTAACGAGCAAAGAATCGAAAATATGAAGAAAAAAATTTAATAAAGTTCTTTGCAGATACATACGTCATAATTTACTATGTTTATGTCATGTGTGTGCATAAATATGTGTGTTTTTGTTTGCTTGTGTGTGTGTGTATGTTTGTCTGTTTTCGTGTGAGCTTATTTATGTACGTATGTATGTGTGCGTGTGTATGTGTTTGTACGTATGTACGTGTTTGGTTATGTGTGTTTGTGAATATGTATGTAGGTATGTGTGTGTGTGTGTGTGTGTGTGTGTGTGTGTGTGTGTGTGTGTGTTTAAGTATGTTTGTATGTATGTTTGTATTTGTATTTATATATGTGTACAAACATATATGTAATTTCTTCATTTAGATGAGAAGATTTTTAGGTGTGGCCATGTTATGCGAGATGATGATTATGATGATGATGATGATGATGATGATGATGATGATGTTGAAGATGATAATGATAATGAATAAGTAGTAGTAGTAGTAGTAGTAGTAGTAGTAGTAGTAGTAGTAGTAGTAGTAGTAGTAGTAGTAGTAGTAGTAGTAGTAGTAGTAGTAGATGATGATGAGGATGAAGATGATGAAGATGATGATATAGAGTAATGAATAATGATAAATGATCTAGCTGAGAATGATGCCAGATATTCTAGACTAAGCTAATACCAAGCTAATGACGATGATAGTGACGATGACGATGATGATGATGTTGTTATTATTACTGTTGTTGCTGATGATGATGACGAAGATGATGAAGATGACGACGACAACGATGTTAATTAAGATAGTTGAAGTTGTCATAGAAACAATAACGTGAATGATAAGAAGATTGAGCTTAATAGCTACAGTGAAATGGAGAAAAAAAACATTGTATGTATGTTTGTATGTATGTATGTTTGTATGTATGTATGTTTGTATGTATGTATGTA